ACAGCAAGGTATACACATCAACAGTGAGATGGCGGACGGCTCTCGTCTGCCAGCATCGCCAACCAGCACAACAATGGAGAACAACAACCACGAGCACGCAGTGGTCTCCAGTGCAGATGCGGAAACTGTACACTCGTCATCCACGACATCCACGACAGCAACCTCCTCTGAATTGAGTCTCGATGGCCGTTGGGGAGAGCGAGATCAAGGGGAGCCTGTTTCCCGCCGTGGCGCCATGGAGGACTTTGAGGATATGAGGAGGGAACTGACCCAACTCAGTCTGAGACGAACGCGGTCCGCTGGAAAGGATACCCATCGATTGCGATCCCGGGCCTCCGGGCGAGCCGGTCAAGTTCGCGATGTAGAGAAAGCTCTCGACGAGGAGGATTCGACCATCAATGGCGACGGCTACCAGGGTGGATTCGATCTCGGCGAGTTTCTGATGGGTGGTCATCTGGAACGGAGAACGACCGCAGGAGAGCCGGCGAAGAAGGTCGGGGTCCTTTTCAGGAATGTCACGGTGAAAGGTGTCGAGACCGGGGCGTCCTTTGTGCGGACTTTGCCTGATGCTATTGTTGGCACCTTTGGGCCTGATCTGTACAGAATCCTCTGTGGCTTCATCCCGCAATTGCGCTTTGGGAAACAGCCTCCTGTGCGAGATCTGCTCCATGATTTCACCGGTCTAGTCCGAGAAGGCGAGATGATGCTGGTCCTGGGCAGGCCTGGTGCGGGTTGCTCCACCTTCCTGAAAACCATCGCCAACGACCGGGGCGCCTTTGCCGGTGTGGAAGGTGAGGTCCGGTATGGCGGTCTCTCCGCCGAAGAGCAACTGAAGCACTTCCGCGGCGAGGTCAACTACAACCCGGAAGACGACCAGCACTTTCCGACCCTCACCGTGTGGCAGACCTTGAAGTTCTCTTTGATCAACAAGACCAAAAAGCACGACAAGGCCAGCATTCCCATCATCATTGACGCTCTCCTGAAAATGTTCGGCATTACGCACACCAAGAACACGCTTGTAGGTAACGAGTTTGTCCGTGGTGTGTCGGGAGGCGAGAGGAAGCGGGTCAGTATCGCCGAAACCCTGGCGACCAAGTCATCGGTCGTTTGCTGGGATAACTCCACCAGAGGTTTGGACGCCAGTACAGCTTTGGATTATGCCAAGTCTCTCCGGATCATGACCGATGTCAGCAAACGTACTACGTTTGTCACCCTTTACCAAGCTGGAGAGAGTATCTACGAACTCATGGACAAGGTTTTGGTCATTGATTCTGGACGCATGCTCTACCAGGGTCCTGCAAACAAGGCGCGCGAGTACTTTGTAAACCTCGGTTTCTACTGCCCGGAGCAATCGTATGTCTCTCTCTCTCACACATTTGAACCTTGTCGGTTGCTAACCCACTGCTAGAACAACTGCTGATTTCCTTACTTCAATCTGCGACCCTAACGCTCGTCAATTCCAGCCCGGCCGGGAGGCCTCTACCCCCAAGACGCCCGAGGAGCTTGAAGCAGTCTTCAGAAATAGTGAGGCTTACAAGAGTATCTGCGACGAGGTGGCTAGTTATGAGAAGAAGCTTCAAGATACAAACCAAGAGGATACCCGCCGCTTCCAGAAGACCGTTGCACAATGTAAGTTTGCGACACCCCCCTAGTACATCCCTGCCGAAAACTAACCCCCTTCAGCCAAAAGTAAGACGGTGTCGAAAAAGTCCAGCTACACTGTTTCCCTCGTTCGGCAGGTCCTTGCTTGCGTGCAGCGTGAGTTCTGGCTCCTGTGGGGTGACAAGACATCCCTCTACACCAAGTACTTTATCATCATTTCCAATGCCCTGATCGTTTCTTCTCTGTTCTACGGCGAGTCCCTCGACACCAGTGGTGCATTCTCCCGTGGAGGTGCGCTCTTCTTCTCGATTCTGTTCCTCGGTTGGTTGCAATTGACGGAGTTGATGCCCGCCGTTACGGGACGAGGCATTGTCGCCCGTCACAAGGATTACGCCTTCTACCGTCCATCTGCCGTGTCGATTGCTCGAGTGGTGGTTGATTTCCCTGCTATCTTCTGCATGGTCGTCCCATTCACCATCATCGTATATTTCATGACAGGGCTCGATGTGACCGCTTCCAAATTCTTCATCTACTTCCTGTTCGTGTACACCACTACATTCTGCATCACCTCGTTGTACCGCATGTTCGCCGCGCTCTCTCCGACTATTGATGACGCCGTTCGATTCAGCGGTATTGCTCTGAACGTACTCATTCTGTTCGTCGGTTACGTCATTCCCAAGCAGGGTTTGATCGACGGCTCGATCTGGTTTGGGTGGCTCTTCTACGTGAACCCAATCTCGTACAGTTACGAGGCCGTCTTGACGAATGAGTTTGCCGGTCGTATCATGGAATGTGCGCCGTCTCAGCTGGTGCCTCAGGGCCCTGGCGTCGATCCCAGATATCAGGGCTGCGCTCTCACCGGGTCTGAGCTGGGTCGCAGAGACGTTTCGGGTACCCGATACCTGGAGGAGTCCTTCCAGTTCACTCGGAGCCATATGTGGCGCAACTTTGGCGTCGTCATCGCTTTCACTGTGCTATATCTCATAGTCACGGTGCTTGCTGCCGAGTTCCTTTCCTTCGTCGGTGGTGGTGGCGGTGCTCTTGTCTTTAAGCGGTCGAAACGTGCCAAGCAGCTCGCTGCCCGGACCACCCAGGGCAACGATGAGGAAAAGGTTCAGGACGCTGGTGACAATGCTGCGCTGTCGCGCGGAGAGGCGACGTCCACGGGCAATGGCGAAACATTCAACCGCATCTCTTCCAGCGACAGAATCTTTACCTGGTCAAACGTCGAATACACGGTACCTTACGGCAACGGAACCAGAAAGCTCCTGAATGGGGTCAACGGATACGCAAAGCCGGGACTCATGATCGCTCTGATGGGTGCTTCGGGTGCCGGTAAGACGACCCTCCTCAACACCCTGGCTCAGCGTCAGAAGATAGGTGTGGTGACGGGCGATATGCTTGTCGATGGTCATCCTCTCGGCGCGGATTTCCAACGAGGTACTGGCTTCTGTGAGCAAATGGATCTTCACGACAACACGTCTACCATCCGTGAGGCTCTGGAGTTTTCGGCCCTGCTCCGCCAGGACAGGAACGTTCCCAAACAGGAGAAGCTCGACTATGTCGACCAGATTATCGATCTGTTGGAGCTGAACGAGATCCAAGACGCCATCATCGGTTCGCTCAACGTGGAGCAGAAGAAGCGGGTGACAATCGGCGTTGAGCTTGCAGCCAAGCCCGGCCTTCTGCTCTTCTTGGATGAACCTACCTCTGGACTGGATAGTCAAGCGGCCTTTTCGATCGTCAGATTCCTGAAGAAACTCTCCCAGGCCGGACAGGCCATTGTGTGTACCATCCACCAGCCCTCGTCCATGTTGATTCAGCAGTTCGATATGATTCTCGCCCTCAACCCCGGCGGTAACACCTTCTATTTCGGTCCAGTTGGCTCCGGGGGTCGCGATGTGATCAAGTATTTCGCAGATCGTGGCGTCGTCTGCCCTCCGTCGAAGAACGTGGCTGAATTCATCCTCGAGACGGCCGCCAAGGCAACAACGACAAAGGACGGCAAGAAGATCGACTGGAACGAAGAGTGGAGGAACTCGGAGCAGAACCGCCGGGTTCTGGACGAGATCCAGCGAATCTGCGAAGAGCGTAGCAAGATCCCCGTCACCGAAACAGGGGCTCCGTACGAGTTCGCCGCGCCCACGATGACGCAAACTCTCCTTCTTACGGAGCGTCTCTTCAAGCAGTACTGGCGCGACCCATCGTACTACTACGGAAAGTTGTTCGTCAGCGTCATCATCGGTATCTTCAACGGCTTCACCTTCTGGATGCTCGGAAACTCGATCGCCAGCATGCAGGACCGCATGTTCTCCTGCTTCCTGATCATTCTGATCCCCCCTATCGTCCTCAACAGCGTCGTGCCCAAGTTCTACATGAACCGCGCTCTCTGGGAGGCCCGCGAATACCCCAGCCGCATCTACGGCTGGTTCGCCTTCTGCACCGCCAACATCGTCTGCGAGATCCCCATGGCCATCGTCTCGAGCGTCATCTACTGGCTGCTATGGTACTACCCCGTCGGCTTCCCCACGGACTCCAGCACCGCCGGCTACGTCTTCCTCATGTCGATGCTCTTCTTCCTCTTCCAGTCCAGCTGGGGCCAATGGATCTGCGCCTTCGCCCCGTCCTTCACCGTCATCTCCAACGTAAGTTTACCGATTTGCTACCTTTCCCACCCCCACACACTCTAACTCACACATCCTCCAGGTCCTCCCCTTCTTCTTCGTCATGTGCAATCTCTTCAACGGCATCGTCCGCCCCTACCGCGACTACCCCGTCTTCTGGAAATACTGGATGTACTACGTCAACCCCGTCACCTGGTGGCTCCGCGGCGTCATCTCCTCCATCTTCCCCGCCGTGCAGATCGAATGCGCCGCCACGGAGACAACCCACTTCAACCCGCCCCCCGGCCAGACCTGCGCCCGCTACGCAGGCAATTTCGTGACCAACATCGCAAAGACCGGATACCTGCTCAACCCGGACGCGGACGCGGACTGCCAGTACTGCCCCTACAGCAACGGCGCACAGTACATGTCCCTCCTGAACGTCCAGGAGGGCGACAAGTGGCGCTGTTTCGGCATCTTCTTGGCCTTTGTGATTATTAATTGGTTGTTGGTTTATTTCTTTATCTATACGGTGCGGGTGAGGGGCTGGTCGTTTGGCATTGGGTATTTGTTTGGGGGGCTGGGGTTGGCGGTTGATAAGGTCAGGGGGGTTTTTAGGAGGAAGTCGGAGTAGGCATGAGGGTATCGGTGGACTAGGGACCCAGAAGGAAGGAATGGGATCAGAGTGATCTCAGCGAGTCTCCATAAAAGCATTTCTGTCGGATCGTGATCGTGATTTAGCGTGATCTGGATGTTTGATATCCATTCTGCATACATAGAGCAATAATGCATTCATTAGACGGCGTTCTTCATGCCAATCACCTCCAGTGCTATAAAATCCCAAAATCCATCCCTGCCAATCACCGACACCAAGTCAAAAAAACCAAGGCTTAAGACCCGGCCCGTACCGACGCCCAGGAACCGTCATCGGCACGGGGACAGGACCTCTAAAAACATCCAGCATATCCGCCGATTCGTCTGCTCCCCCGCCACCGTTGTTACCCGAGACTTTGGAGACTTTGTCTGAGGTATCCGCTGTGTCGAGGACGGGTACCAGGACACCGCATTCCCAATTCCGGCAGTTGAGCTTGGGCTGCTTGGTTGTTCGGTCCTGGACGAGCCGGCCCCTTTGCGTCCTCGGCATTAGAATGCTTTCTCTTGGCGGGACCAGGGACGAACTCACCACGCGCTTTCTGAGAGATTCGCACTTCCCACGTACGCCCACCCTCGACACTGCGAGTTATTCGGTAATCGTATCGGTTCATCCGGTCTCACGAATAGCATCTGTGGAGCGAGACGTTGCGTTGTGTCAGTTGGGATATTACCCCTCAAGAGGGAGAGCAGAGCGTACCTTGTTATGCATCAGAAGTCCCGGCCGCCGACTCTTACAGTCACGCAGCACCTGACGCGGGAATTTCGGATTATCGTACCATTTCGACTGGAAACAGATTGTGCCGGCGCAGTTTGGGCCGCCTCGTGATTGCTCGATGGTCGTCCGGGAGGGGAAGTAGACTCGGAAGCGATCTTTCCATTCTTCAGCGGTGTTTTTGTGGATGAGTTGGGCTGCGTCGTTGGGGTTGCGCGCGGGGAAGGTCTTGGAGGTTCGGAGGGCGAAGTCGGTTGTACCGTCGTCTCCTAGGGGTATTTTAGTCTCTGTCCGAATGGAGCGGAGGGGGTGCTTACCTTGGGAAGCGAGATATACTGATCTTAGGAATTCGTCGGTGAGTAATCCTACGGAGGATGTCTGTGCGAGGTCAGTCGAGAAAGTCCGGATCTTGCTGGGCCCATGAGCTGAACCTACAACATAATCGATATTGATCGGCTTGGAGGTTTGCAATCCTAATGCATTGACTGCTCGCCCCAAGCCGCAATATCCCGTTCTTCTCCACGCATTTCCTGTGTGTGACCCTCCGCTGTAGAGCATCAGTAACATTCTAGAATAGTGTGAAGGTCTCCTACATGGTGTGAGCGAGCATAATATGAGACGTCTGACTGAAGTCGTAGTCGTCGAGCCTGGAAATGACATTCTCGTGCAATGTACTTGCTCTCAGAAAGTAAACCAGGTCTTCCTGAAAGGCGGTCTTGGAGCCCGTAGAAGTTGTGGCTGCCTTTCGGGGAAGATCGATGAGAAAAGCACTCTGAGCTAGAGTCAGCAATGGCTCTGTGGATGATGAGCTGATCATCCTACGTTTTCCATTACCCCTCCCATTTCGCCCCAATCATATGGTGTGAGATTCGCAGTCGGAACTACAATTCGTAGGTATCCCGGGTGAAAGAGTAGCATCAGTTTCGAGTGCATGCAGTTCACCTGTCCTTCCATGGGTGGAAAGCACAATCTCAGGTTGCTCATCGATGCGGTTTCTGCCTCGTATTGACGTTTCTGATACCCAAATTAGATCAGTAATTGATATTTCAAGTAGAAACAGATAGAGGGTCAATCACCGTCAAATCATCTTTAGCCTGCATTACTAGGAGAAAACGAGTGCGTTTCGTATCGATCTTTGAAAAGAGCCATTCCATGTCCCACATAAATGAGCTCAGAATGGCTAGCTCTAGATCACTTCTCTGGAAGACCTCCTCGATTGCGATATCGTCGCCTGTCCGTGGGCAGTACTGCGCGTAAGTCTTTTTGACAACGCCCTTTGGGAACTGTACACCCGGTGTTCGAGAAGGATTGGACAAATGCGGCTTCGACTCTGCAGTCTCATGTCTTGCTTCAGGAACGCCAATATTGGATGCATATTCGGTCGCTACAGAACCACTGCTGCTTTGACGTGCCAGCTGATTCGATTCGTTCTTTGAATGTTTGGCTTGACGATGGTCAATGTCCCCAACATCATCCGCTTTTCTCTTCGCAATGCGAGCGAGGCGTTCTTCCTCCATTTGCTTTCGATTTAGACCCAGGAGCCCAGATGATTGCGAAGGTCTGTGGTCAGCTGCAGAACTTTCTGTCTTTGGGGGTGAGCCATGTCCTTTGTCACCGTGTGATGGATTAGGCGGGTTCTTTTCAGTATCCTCAGAGTCTTGCAGGGACAACGCAATGGCTCTCTTCAGATCTTCATCATCTTCGTCTTCAATCTCAACTCCATCCTCATCAGCATCTGTATCAGACCCAATAACTGATTTAGACTTTGGAAAAACAGGAATGATTTCATCATCATCTGACTCTGCAGTAAGATCAACGAAATTTTGCTGAGGTTCATCAGCTGGATCGGCACCAGAACCATGAAGGTCTCTCAATGAGGCTGCAATGGCTGCTTTAAGATCTGGGTCTGACAGATCTCCTGGCTCCATCTCGAGTTGACCCAGAATCACAGACTGTGATGAGCGAGATATCTTAAAGATGCAGAAATGAGACAAAAGTGAGAGCAGCTAGTTAATAGACATGAGACACTTCGAAATGCGAATATTCTTGTCAAAAATCTAAGGGGTTTTGCAATGTAGCTCTTGTCGACTTTTGTGAGACAGTGCTGTGATTGTTTATGGTAAGACGTCACATAAGCATATTTGGACACTACGCGTCCTACTAGGCCGTGTCCAGTAGACAGCGTCGCTATGACACCTGATGAATATTGTATTTATCTTATTAAGGAAAAAACAACAACGACCGACAAGGACCAAGAAACATAGAAATCATGGAAAGTGAGAACTAATGGTTAGAGTGTGTCCTGCTCCTTCAACCTAGTTATGACACGTGACTGTTTTTAATATTTGAGATCAAGAGAACATCTAGAGTGTCTCCTCAAATATGGCATTGATATATCAAGTCTGCTTGAAAGGAGGCCTCTAATATATGGTCTGTAAAGAATCAGGCTGGCTGAAACCCAGGTTAATTATTTAATATAAGCTCTTAAGGGTTTACAGTGAGGCATCATATTTCTATCATCTTCCTTCGGACACAGGTCTAGGTCGCATAAACCTCAGCATTTTGAATATGCTCATATGGAATGAGTAAATTCAGATTCTTTTTGTATTGCCAATGTGAAAGTAGCGGAGCTAGTACTGTCCCAAGATACAAGAGCTCTCGGCGCAACAACAAAACTCACATCTCCTCACTTCTTTCCCTCAAAGGATTCACAACTGTCTCAGTCCTCGACAGACGATCTCCAAAACGCGAATACGACACGGTCCATTTATTCAGGAACACGCTGAAGAAAAAGAGAGGGCAAGATGAATCCTGACGCAGAAACCCAGCAAGAACAAGAACTCCCCCAGAGCGAGAAGAAAGGCAAAATACAGGCTCTTCTCTCTCGGGCTCAGAAACCAGACGTGTCAGTCTCCTTGATGTGATATTGTCCCTCTGCTGCTGACATGTGTCTCATCCTCATTCAGGCTGTTGGTCCGATTCTTCAGACAGGTATACGATGAGCACCTGGGCACGTCTCGTCTTGTCAAGCCAGCTGAACCGGAAACCTTCGAGAATGTAGCTCTCAATGAGGGTTGCAAGATGGTGAGAGGCAGTCTGATCGTAGGCAACCGGCACCTGCGCTGTCACCTTCTCCGTCTGCCAATCCATGTCCGATACAGAATTTATGAGTTCTTGTTCTGTCATTACAACAGTTATGTCGAGATAGGGGGACCATATAACCACCAAATCGGGGATTTGGCAATCCTCAGAACCTCGCATGTGTTTTATCATGAAGCGTCTATCGCCCTGTATCATTCCCTGGGTGATCGACTGCTCTTTTTCAGAAATTACGGGTCGAAATCGGTCGATTTCCTCAGACGTCAGCCAACGCCGTTGCCATGCTGCCGCAACCGAGTCTTCCAACAATGGTTGGAATACCCCTGTCGTAACAGGGAGATTGTGTGGAGAAGATCTTTCAAATCAATCGTGTTTCTGATCGGAGCATCCGAGCCCCTGCTGGCAGTTCAACGTCGCTGGGCGTTTGCAGAGTTCATCACCACTCTAAGAATGAGAGAGCCCCTCAGAGTCCACGAGCTTTCTGTCGTTGTGTACAATCAATGGAAGATTCCCGGATTCGATGAGGGAGACCTGGTCCGCGCTCTGTTCAGTGGCGGGATTGAATTTCTCGGCCGGTTGATATTCAGAGGCCTGGCCGAAGACGAGACAACACGCCTGACTCAACTCATCTTTGCCCTCAGAATTCCCAATTTGACGATCGAGCGGGCCAGAACAAGAGCCCAGGAGGAAGAAGTCTCCATTAGTCTGTGTAAGTGACTCGCTTTTGTTTTGTACTATTTCTGCCACTTGTTCTCATTCGAGGTTCATTGAGAATATTGGATCGGGGCTCAAACGCATTGAAGTACAAGATCGATGATGGTGAAAAAGACCTCACGGTCAGCCTCTGCACTCTGGAGTCCAAGACCGACGACAAGCAATCGCTTCTCGTCAGGTGTCTTTGTTGCAATAGCAGTTGCTATCTGGCGGGCGTACAGCTGACCAACTGTTTCATGTCCAGGAGCTCGACCCCCAAGCAGCGAGGTGGCCATCAAGCGGCTCATTGGAAGGAGATCATCATCGGCTGGTTCAGATAATGTATGAAATCCCTGTGCCCCTGGGTTTCTATTCTCTAGCGGTACGTGCAGCTGAGCCATATGTTAGCCTGAGACACTTGTAGGAGACGCTGAGCTACGGACCCAATGCCCAAGTCGGCCGTTCTGAGATATGGTGACCAAAATTTTGTCGCTAAATTGGACGCACGTCACGTCTGTCTTTATGCCATTTACCACTCCAGCGACTTGTTTTGTGGCAGCAGGAAAAGGAAGGTTTAGTGGTCCCTGGAGGTTATCGAGGTCAAGAAGATTGGACATGATGAATAGTACTGAGTATTTAGTTTAGGGATACTAGAAAATGAAAGAAACTCCGTTTCAGCTGATCAAGTGAACTTTTAATTTCAACTCTATCGCAAAAATACAGGTGTAAACAAATGAAGCCAGTGATCTGTTAGCAGAGGGTCTGTGATGCCGCCTTGTGGGCGGTGAGATCTGTCTCACCGCTGTCCGGCAGAATTAATTTCTTTTCACTTTTCCTTCGACAGCAGAGGAGCAGCAATCACAAAATCAGCCATTCTCTACTGTTCTTCTAATTCTTCTTCCCTTTGTCTCCGGGCTGAGACAAGGGAATCCCCTCGATCTTCACAATGCCCAAATTTGTCCCCCGTCAACGGAAGCAGAAACACCGACAAAACAATTCAAACGATGCTGCGGTCGACACAAATGCTGCCGAGATACTGCCCATCTCGAAGAGCGAAAAGGAAGCGAGGAAGCAGAAACTCCGAGAGGAGCTGAGAGCGCAACACACCAAGATCTCTGCGAAGAAGCAAAAGCGCTTGGATAAATATATTGTATGTGATTATGAGTTTCTTGTGAATTCACGGATGTCTGCGCAGATTTGATTGACCGTCTGAGCAGGAAAACAAACTCAAAAAAGAAGAGAACATCGAGCTACTTAAAAAGCTTGAGAAGGCCAAGGTCGATACCTCCGCGCTCCAAAGCTCAAAGGAATTGGGAAAACGAAAGAGAGAGGATGAAAATATTGTGCCCGCGACTGCTACCAAGGCTGTTAGTGCGTCGCAGAATCAGATTTCAGATTCGGAATTGTCAGGCGACGAGACGGACGACTCATTTGTCAAATCGAAAGCGAGTTCCAAGCCGAAATTCGCCGAGACTGCTCCTGCACCACCAATTCCCGCCCCAGCCGTTGGTGGCGGTCTCAAACGTCCTCTGGAACTCGGCCCCGACGGTTTCCCAGTTCTGAAGAAGCGGAAACGAGCGCCCAAGGTCAAACCGGTGATCGTATCCTTGCCGGAGGTGCCATGGGAAGGGTTCGATTCAGATGATGGGAATGGTAGTGTTGGTAGCAACGATGATGAAGAGCCGGAACACTCAGAGAGCGACGCCGAAAAAGAGATTGTGCAGGATGAAGAGAACGAAGCATCTTCCGACAATGAGGATAGCGGCAGTGATAATGGGGAGGAAGACGAAGAGGACGAAGAAGAAGAAGAAGAAGACGACGACGACGACGACGACGACGACGACGCGGATGAGGATGAGGAAGGCGATTCATCAGCAGGAACCCGAATCAAGCCTCGCCAGTCCGCGTTTAAAGCGTGGGCAAGACAGCAAATTAATGAGGTTGTCGGCTTCAAACCTTCTGGGCCCATCACAGCAGAGGAGCTGCCGTTCATTCCTGAATCCAAGCGGCCCGTCAGGAACACAGTGGCTGAAGAGGAGCCGCTTCCTCCAGAGCTGCAAGTCACCAAAGGCGATCCAAACCGCAAGGCTTTCAGCGTGCAAGTTGACCGTTCGGAAAAAGTTCAAAATTCACGCTTAGGACTGCCCGTGGTCGGTGAAGAACAGAAGATCATGGAAGCCATCTACAACAATTCATCCATCGTCATCTGGGGTGCTACGGGTAGCGGAAAGACCACACAACTTCCTCAATTCTTGTTCGAGGCCGGTTATGGGCACCCCGACAGTCCCAACCCGGGGATGATTGCAGTGACTCAACCCCGCCGAGTTGCTGCTGTCAGTATGGCCAAGCGTGTGGCTGATGAACTGGGACAGTACTCCGACCGGGTTGCTTACCAGATTCGATTCGAAAGCAACGTCTCCAGCAAAACCGCCATCAAGTTCATGACTGACGGTATCCTCATTCGCGAGATCGCCGAAGACTTCGCTCTGAGGAAATATTCAGTTATCGTAATCGACGAGGCTCACGAACGAAGCGTCAACACGGATATCCTAATTGGAATGGTTAGCCGTATCATTGACCTGCGGAAAGCCATGAGCGAAGAGGATCCCTCCATCAAACCCCTCAAACTCGTAGTCATGTCTGCGACTCTGCGAATCTCTGATTTTACGCAGAATGCAAGTCTATTCCGTCAAGGCCCGCCGCCACTAGTACAAGCAGAAGGCCGTCAGTACCCTGTAACCATACACTTCGCGCGACGGACACATCGCGACTATGTTGAAGAAGCCTACAGAAAGGTCTGCAGGGGTCACCGCAAGCTACCTTCCGGAGGCATGCTCGTGTTCCTCACCGGACAGAACGAGATCAGACATATGGCTAAGCGGTTGAAGCAGACCTTCAAGCCCACACAACGGGGAGAAGCTACACAGGCAAAAGTACAACTCTCCGCAAACGATGCACCACTCGAAGCGGAGGACCTGGACCTAGGGGGTGCAGATCTGTCTCATCCCGGCAACGAGGATGATGACAGTGACCTCGAGATTACCGGCTTGGATGAGAATCCTGAGGAAGATGAAGAGTTTGATCTGGGGGAAGAGGCGATGGATTCCTCAACTCGAGTGCATGTCTTGCCGCTCTACTCTCAGCTGCCCACAAAGGAGCAACTGAAGGTTTTCGAACCGCCACCAGAGGGCTCTCGGCTTATCGTCCTGGCGACCAACGTCGCCGAGACCAGTCTTACAATTCCGGGCATCAAGTATGTCTTTGATTGTGGGCGAGCCAAAGAAAAGCAATACGATCTAGAGACCGGGGTGCAAAAGTTCCAGATCGGATGGATCAGCAAGGCTAGTGCAAACCAGAGAGCTGGTCGAGCCGGTCGAACCGGACCAGGTCACTGCTACCGACTCTATTCTTCCGCGATTTACGAAGGTGAATTCGCGGAATACACCGATCCTGAAATCCTAAGAACACCTATTGAAGGCGTCGTGCTTCAAATGAAAAGCATGGGTCTTCATAACGTGATCAATTTCCCCTTCCCTACGCCTCCGAGTCGGCAGGGTCTGGCCAAGGCCGAGAAGTTGCTGAAGTACCTTGGAGCGCTCTCCGCGGATGGTAAAATCACTCAGATCGGCCATCGCTTGTCCACGTATCCGCTATCACCGCGGTTCGGCAAGATGCTTCATATCGGCCACCAGCACGGCTGCATGCCCTATGTGATTGCGCTTGTCTCCGCCCTGGCCGTGGGAGACTTGTTCATCCCCGAAAACCAAATCGATCCAGTTCCGTCGAAGGAAGAAGACAAGAGTGACGGAATCTACAAGAACTCCGATCGTCTAGAGGACACTGCTCGGGAACAGCGCCACAAGGACTACGCGAGAGCGCACCGTCTCTTCAGCAAGCACGATGATACTTTGGACGCTTTGAAGTATCTGTCAGCGATCTGCGCCTATGCTTATTCTTCGAATGGGGACTCATTCTGCGATCAGATGTTCCTGCGGGCAAAGGCATTCAAAGAGGCCACGCAACTTCGGCAACAGCTGACCGATATTGTACGCGCAAACAACCCTGGTCTGATTGCAGCGTATGAGCCGCGTCTGCCTGAGCCGACGGATAAGCAGATCAAAGCGCTGAAGCAGATCGTGACTGCTGGGTTCATCGACAACGTTGCAATCCGCGCCGATCTGGCGCCGGTTCCGCCCGAGATGGACCGCACACCGAAGAGAGCCATTGATGTCCCATACCTGACGCTCTTCCGGTCTCGCGAAGGACGGGCGACAGAACTCCAGGAGAAAGCCGTCTACGTGCATCCTTCGTCTGTTCTGGCGCGCCTTTCACCCAAGGAAATGCCGCAGTACCTGATTTATTCTCATCTCCAACAATCAGCGCCTTCGGTGCTGTCCGATCAGGTCCCGAGGATCAGAATGTATCCTCTTGCAGCGCCAAGCGGACTGCAGCTCTCAGCTATCGCGCACGGCACTCCGCTCATCGAATACGGCAAGCCAATCGGCAAGACAGAACCGATCGATGGAGTTCCGCAGCGACGAGCATGCTGGGTCATTCCCTCGCTTGTCGGCGAAGCTGGCGGCACCTCTTGGCCCTTGCCGGCCAAGAAGGTCATCCAACGGAAAGATGCAAAGGATGGCTGGGTGATTGAAAAGTTCACCACCTAAGATGTATATAGTTTTGACAGACGTTGAGATGGCTGGAAGCAAAGATCATGTGGATAGACAAGAGTCATGCTTGATGAAATACATGCATACCGGTAACTAATCCCCTTCCATTCATCCCAAACCAACAAAATGCAGCATCACCTCAACACCGTAAACGCCAGGGAAAACCCCATATCAACGGAAACAAGCACAATCACTAACCCCCATCTAATACCGCTCCCTATCCCTCTTCCTCGCCTCAAAATCCTTCCTTCCACTCGAGATCTCCCCCGTCTCCCCATTCTCCCGAATCCCCAACGCCTTCCTCAACCTCTCGCTTTCCTCAATCTTCGCCTCAGCGAGCTCATGCACCTGATACGACTTGAACTGTCTCCTCTCCCTCGGCGGCAAATCCCGCTCCCTGTCCCTAGGACCCCCAGGCCCGCGTCTCCTCCGCCGCCTCCATCTCCTTCAACAACCTCGCCCGCAGCGCCTCGCACCGCTCCTCAATCTCCTCCTCCGACAACACCTTGCCCTTGCCCTCCTCCTCAATCCGCTCGTTCTCCTCTTCCAGTCGCTCCCGCTCCTCCATAACCTTCACCTCGACCGCGCGCCGCCGGTCATGCTCAAGAATCTGCTTGTCGGGTTGCCGCTGCTTGAATGCGCGGGTGGAATCGTTGGCGTTGGCGCCGGAAACGGGAGGGTAGGGCGCGCCGTAGCCTGCGTTGCGCGGCTTCATGAAGGCGTAGTTGCGTTGGACGTAGCCGGATGTGCCGCTTCCGCGGGGGGTGGAGAGGCCGACGTTGGAGGACATTGTGAGGAGTTTGTATGCTGGAGGACTGGGACGTGTGGTTTGCGGTGAGAGCCGGAAAAGTAGCGGTTCCGTGCACCTGTGTGGGTGTTTGTGAAAGTTTGACTGCGATAGAGTGGATGGATGGTTTCCGGTCGTTGAAGGACCGGTGAAGGACCGGTGGGACTAAGAAACAGTGAAGCGCGAAGTGGCTGCGGGAAGATGTTAAGCAGTAATGCGCTAGGTATCAGGGAGAAGGTGAATGTGAGAGTTTCAGGCACTCTGCGCAGTGTAATCCTCCTAATAGAATGAAGTTACAACTAAGGTAGTGGCAAGCTCCAGTTATTCCGTACATGATGGCTAATGCAATCACGTGATTATGACCAGTTGATAAGCGCCAAAGTGGATGGTAAATAGCATAAGTTCATAACACGAAAAGACGCAATGTCTAGGTGTTATTTCAGTACAGTAGTATGAAGTTTTTGCCTGAGGATATGTTATGAGCAATGCTCGTACTGGATGCGTTCTGATGCCTTAAGTCTGTCTGTCTGTCTGTCATGTAACCCGATTTCCAACATGCCGTTGATCCTCCATTAAATTAAGATAGACTGTGAATCGAGCCATAGCAGATTTGCAAGCAAACGCTTTTCCATTGAACTGACTGTATAGCGAGAAAGGAAAGTCACCTCATGCGCCAGGCAAGTCTCATGTATTCTACCTATTTCCAGATTCCTCCATATGCCCACGGTCCCGTATTGAGTTTCATCAGGTCAATCAAGCGCGATATTCCAGTATCCCTAGCTCACCATTGAAGACGCCGAACCCTCCTATTTGGACAAAGAAGAAACCATTGACAAACTTCTCGAGACGTATCCTCATTTTCATCACATCACAATTTCAAACACAAGACGAAGACATGAACGATTAAGAATATAGGAAGGTTGAAGACAAAGACCGTTCGAACATGAACCAGTGAAGTTCCCACCGTGACCCCTGAATTTTGACGCCGTCGTGCCATGAAGAATAATGGCTGGTGAGAGAGATCGAAGAAAGAAAGCTGGAAACTCATATATCCCTCAGAGAATTCCCTGTATGTATACGCCCATATTAAAAATAGAGTTGGGGTTTCGACTCATTTAAAGACATAAAAGGAGCAAATATTCGCAGGAAGAGAAGGGGGAAAATTAAACAAAGAGCACGGTCTGAGGTCTGAAGCAGCTTTAAGTGGATCCGGACGCTGGCACAGAGCCATTGGGGGTGACAGAGGCAGATTCAGATACTGACAAAGGAGTCACCGTGCTTTTCGCAAGGTTCTTAGTTTCGGCAGGACCATGTGTATGACCCTGGTTGTCAGTAGGAGGAGGGGTAGGCGGAGCCGCGCCGACAACAGGAGCTCGGCTGTCCTCTAGGTCGTTGACCAGGCGCTTGCTTGGCTGAGGGGAGGACTTGTGAGAGTGCGGAGGGGTCGTGGACGAAGCCTGAGGGAGAGAACTAGCACCAAGTGTCGCAGAATCGAAAATGAGCTTTTCGATCGCGACGATCTGCTTCCCATAGCTGAATTTCTTAAGCTGGCTGAGCAAAGGCCGGATTTGGTCGATGAGAGCGTCCCTTTCCTCGCCCTTCAGCTGACCAAGCACCTTTTCTAAAGCAATGGTTAGTGATTCCACACATCGAAACGAGCATCTGAAAAGTACTCACGAATCACGTAGTTTCCGTACTGATCACGCATCAGACCCAAGAGAGGGCTCTCGCCTCTCTCGTTCGCGGAGGTCAATGTGCTGATGATCTGCCGACGCTGCGACTCTTCACCAAACTCGATGCTCTTTTCAACGACATTGCTTGCAAACTTGTGCTTCGAATACATGAGCAGTTGTGACAGTACAACATTGATCATACGGGATCGATCCTTCTCCTCGCCATTTTCGATCACGTGTTGAATGACATAGTTTCCAAACTGATCTGGGATGAGGTGAGCAGTGCAAGCATGAAGCTCAGCCAAGATCGATTCGCGGTCCTCTTCTTCACAGTGCTCGAGCATGCGCTGGATGACCCGGCATCCATATGGGTGTGCGGCCAGCCTGCTCACTTGTCCCTTGAAGGCGTTGATGATGAATTGCACGTATTGAGATGGAACCCTTTCAATGGCCTTCTGAATGACATGGTTTCCATTCTGGTCACGGACACACTTGAGCACGTGGTTCTCGAGCTCTTTGACCATGGATGCCTGCTGGTCGGTAAGGATATGTTCTAACGCCTACTCAACTATTAGCCCCAGATGCACGACAAAGTCAACCCCTTGAAGTGAAAGTGCTAAATGGTCTTACCTTTTGGACAACGCGGCACCCATACATTTGGGTGGACAGAGCAAGCACATGGCCCTTCATTTGATTGGCAAGGATCTTTTTCTGGGATTGGTTGCCATGTTCGAAGAGCTTTTGGACAACATAGTTGCCAAACACGTCTGTCATCAACTGCAGACAGTTGGGCTGAATTTCACGGAACACCTGCTCCTTCTCGTCGCTATTCGCTGTCTCCAACTTCTGTTGGATGAATCTTGAACCATGCTGATCACCGCTGAACTCAACAATGTGATTATAAATGTCCTATAGAGATATTAATGTTGATTTTCGCGCCCGGGAGTTGCAGAGAAACGGAAATACATACCTTGAGCTCGTATCGCTTATTTCCCTTGCTATTAGCCCGAAATTCCTCCAAGAGCGGGCTCCGCACTACTTGGGCAGGGTCTTGATCACGATGGCCCCTGGGGATAATACCAGTGGAGCCCAGTCCACCAAGCTGCGCGACAGGATAGAATCCTGACAGGGCGTTGAGCCGTGCCGCCTGATATCCTGCCAGGTCATACGCAGGAGCATAGGAGATACGTTGCAGAGGATTTGCAGTACCATGGGCAAGATCTTGATCGTGCTGCATAGCACGCAACTTCCGCTCCAAGGCTAGCGCCTGGTTTTCACTCAGTCGGGAACCAGACCCATTCCGATAGTGTGATCCAGGGACTGCGCCGGCCTCAAGAGCAGAGTAAAAGGTGCTCTCCATCCGCGCGATATCTGTGGGGGAAAGTGAGCCTTCACCAAGACGGGATCGGCCGGCGTGGTGTCCCAATGGCAACTCGGGCAAACCATCTCCCGCGTAGCCCCCGACTGCTTCATAGTTGGGTTCATCGCCAGCGCTCTGATATTTGAAGCGTTGCAATGACCCTTCGTAGGAGGAGTGGGACAGGTAGGCCGGACGGCTTACGGCCGGGTGACCCGAAAAGCCACCTTCATTCAGCTGAAGCTTATTGATTCCAGCACTCAGGTCCATGGAGGAGCCTCCAAAACGACCCTCAAATCCCTGGTTTTCAGAATGAAACGACGGGTGGGAGGTGTGGGTGGGTCTCTGAGATGTAAGTGATGCCGAGTTGCGGGACGCATGCGCAAAGCCGTTACGAGTCAGAGGCTGCGACATTGTGTCTGGCAACGCCTGGGGTACGCTAGACATTGCAAGAGACCCAGTAACCTCATCGGGCCGAGTAGTGTCCAGACTAGTAAACCCTTGCTTCATAGGAAATCCCGTTCCGACTGGGCTTCCTCCGAAGGCAGAGGAGCTGGGATGCCGTCTACCGTCGCCACTCCGGAGCCCACCAAAGTTGCCGAATGACAGCCCGTCTCCAGATGGAGAGATCCCGTCAGTTCCAGCGTTCAGGTAAGCTTTGTGGTTCCCCGCTCCAGCGGACGAGCCGATTCCGGAAGATCTAGGTAGGGAGAAATATGACGAGGAGTCAGTGGTCTCCGACAGAGCAGGTGCACTTCTGTCATTGGCCCTAGTTGAAATTGGCGAAGCAGCCATGCCGTTGTTTTGGCCTCTGGACAAGGAAGCCGACGTTGTGTTTACTGTGTTCCAGGGAAGATTCGGCCGACTATTCCACCCGTCTGATTCAGAGGAAGGCAATAAGGAGCCTGAGCCTGATTTTCCTTCGAAAGCAGTTTCCGCAAGATTCTGGTCTTCAGGTTATCGTCAGTTCAATGGTTCTGTGCAAGGACGAAAAAGAAATACCGCGAGCTCCTTCTATCAACGTACCATCGAACCCGCTTCCCAGGTTATTGTCGCCCCAGATGTTGGAGTTCCAGCTTGACTTTCCAGCCGCGAAACCCTTGCCCATACCTGCATGAGGCCCTCGTGATCGGTCACTGCTCATACCTGATGCGGACATGTTTGTAGCTCTGTTTGATCGTACCTGTATCGCCCCAATCAATGGTGTGTCCAACTTCATCCTGGCATTATGACCTACATTATGTACCGTGGTTGAGTTTGCTGCCATGGCAGAGGCCATTCCACCGTCACCACCAAGGATAACAGATCAACAAAAACGTATGCTGACGGGCCGCAAAATATTTGCAGATAATCAAGGCGAATATCAATATCGCCCTTCTATAGTTGCGCACGAATCACAAAGACCCGTCACAAGTGAAAGATACCACGAGGGAAAGAAGAATAAACCGATTATATGCCAACCCGTATTTGCAGATGGGCACGAGCTGCCTGTAATGGCGGACACGAAGGTATAGAGCTGCACGAGGACCAGTCATACGATTAGCCAAGCGGTCTCCGGGAAATTCAAGCAGGACGTCCTCCCTGCTGTCCGAAACGAAAGAAGGGTTTCCTTTGGGGGGGAAACTTACCGAGAGAAGAGAGGAAAGGGAAAGTAAAGAAAAGAAGTGAGGAAAGGGATGGGTAAGAGGGAAAGGAAGAGAATATGATGATCTTTTACTCGAAAGCAGCAACACGGTCAAGCAATGTACAAGACTATACAAGGGACCGAAGGGAGAGGGAAGGGAGAGAGATGGACGGCAGATGAGAAAGCGAGAAATGCGGAGCAGAGGAGCAGAGGAGCAGAGGAGCAGAGGAGCAGAGGAGCAGAGGAGCAGAGGAGCAGAGGAGCAGAGGAGCAGAGGAGCAGAGGAGCAGAGGAGCAGAGGAGCAGAGGAGCAGAGGAGCAGAGGAGCAGGCCAACGAGGTTCAACGCA